AATATTTTACAATTTCACCTTATGATTTTTTTAATTGCTATATATTTTGTTTGAGATTATTTTTAATTTTTTTCTTCAAATGTCATTCTTGAGTTTTTTTCTATCAAATTTTATCATTTTTTGTTGTTGTTTGTTTCTTGCTTTTGCCAATTTATTTTATTGATATTTTTTTTAATTTTATTCTTTAAAATTAAATTGGTTGAGAATTAAGTTTATTGATTGAACTCGGATCCAAAATTTCACAGGTCATGAGTTTTAAAGATTAGACTAACTGACTAAGTTCTTGGTTCGTCCGAGTTTGCTTAATTTTTTTCCCTTTAAGTTGATGTTTTCTTATTTTTTATCATTTATTTCTAAAGTTTTTCCTTGTTAATTTTTGTGGTTCACCTTCTATTTCATTAGCCTTGAGTTTATGACTAGGATTATCAATTTTAAATATTATCGTGTGTTCACTTTTGTTTTTTAAATTGATTCATTTTAATTTTAATATTTTTTTTTAAGGTCATCTCAATCAATAACTTGAGACTTGAATTGTTTTGCCATAACATTTTTTTAACATTAAAAAGAAATTTTATCCTACCAGCTACTAAGTGCAGATAACAAATCTATTTTGAAAATAATTTTACCCTATTCACCTTTTGGGTATGGACCATTAATTTAAAAAAAGGATTCAAGCCCAAAGTTATGTTTTCAAAGTGGACTTCAATTGTCAATACGCTACTAGTGAGAGATTGGATTCTATTTTAATTTTTCAAATCATCTCATCTAGGATTGCATTGAAAATACTCAATAATCAGCTCGCAGATTAGAATAGAAAAACAAATTGTAAATTAGATTGTATAAAGGACACAATTAGGATGATCGTAGTTTTTTTAGTTGCGTGTGAGCTCTGAGTGCTAGTGATATTTTCTTCTTCTTTTTTAATTTTCATCTTTTTTAAAAAAATTGTATGGGAAATTTATTATTTATGAACACCTTATTCTTGATTACTCAAGTCCTGTAATGCATTGTCAATGTTAAGAATCACTGCTATCATAAGGTGTAGTGTGGTTATTGTAATAATGATTATTTTTTACAGTATTTTTTATTTAAAAATATATTAAAATAATAATTTTTTATTTTTATTTTAATATTAATATATTAAGATAATTTTAAAATAAAAAAATAATTAACAAGCTTCAGCTGGTCACGCCAAGCCTAGAAACTACAAAGAAACTACAATTATCTTTATTGTCTTGTCTTCATCTGGTTGGAGCAACAGTGGAATACTGAAAAAAAAAAAAAAGCTCGTAAGAATTTTGAGCTTTTGTGGAAGGAACATGCTTGAATTGACACGTTTCAGTTCCATCCACTGAGTTTATACCTCTCTTAGATGCATACTTTATTCCCATGATGTTCCAGGGACTGTGCCCTTGTGAAGAAGATTGGTGCTGCAACCGAGCTTCAAGTCTAGGCAACTGTTTGATACGGTCAATACGGTCAATATAACAAGATATATATATATATATATATATATATATTGTACATTATATATTTAGTTT